TGGTTAAATCTAAAAACCAAATATAAAATAATGCTGTGAAAAAGGTAGAAAGAAAACAGTTAAAGTGGACCTGTCACATGAAGAAACAAACTTATGCCTCAAGAGTAACTGCGTGGTTTTATTACATCACTTTTTACAGCTGTGTATTCAGGGCTCACTTGGATAGCTCTCATACATTTGAAAACAACTTAAATGCTGAACTCCAGACAGGTATAAAAAACAAGAAATTAATAAAGACCTGTATTAATACATCCTTAAATGCATTTTTAAATCCCTACATAAAAAAATTACTAAAATAGTAATAGGTTAAAGTGCTTGTTAAGCTCAAAGTTTTTTACCTTCTTGCATTCAGCTCTTCGGGAACTTTCTTTCCTTATTGGCTGAGGCATCCCAATGCTGTGAATCACAGCCAGTAAACTAATGAGGAGAAAGAGGGGGCGGGACAGAGCTAAGGCTTTGTGTGTGAATGGACACACAGAGCAGAGGCTCGGGAGTGAGCCTGCTTGGGTATCCCCATATCAAGCCTGAGAAGAGGAGGATCAGGGCTTCTCTGTGTAAAACCACTTCACAGAGCAAGTAAGTATAACATGTTTGTATTTTTTTTTAATTACCTTTAATATCACTTTAAATATACCTGACTTTTATTCTAAGTATAACAAAATCCTGTATTAAGGGGTATGTAAACCCAAATAATGAGCTTCTCTTATTTGATCTCGTGTGGTCTCTTAAATATAGTACTATCAAAACCATTTTGGTATATCTGTTCCACAAGTGGAGAAAAAAATTATTAAATATTAAAGCCAGCACTCATGTTCTACATAGCATAAATTCTATTAAAAAATATATTCTACAATAAATACAATACATCCTACATTATACATAAAAAAACATGTTATTTTAAGGTGCAAAAAATAAATACTACCCTATGATAAAAATCCATATATGTCACAAACCACATCTTTTTACATATAACACATACATATGTCAAATCTAATCTGATGCAGGGGCGGACTGACAACTCATGGGGCCCCTGGGCAATAGTGGATCATGGGGCCCCTGGGAAATAGTGGATCATGGGGCCCCTGTGTCCTTGCCCAAACTCAAAAAAGCCTATGAAAAAGGTACCAGGGGCATCTCATGGGGCCTCCTACTGACCCCGGGCCCTCGGGCAGTGCCCGAGTTTCCAAATGGTCAGTCCGCCCCTGATCTGATGTTAAAAAAAAGTCTTTATTGTGGTACAAAATCTGTGTAATCCCAGGAATTTCAAATGAAAGTACTCCCAAATGTTGTGTTCCATAACAATACAAAACAGTGGGGTTTAATTATTGTAACTGGAGAGTGCAAAATCTGGTGCAGCTCTGCATAGAAGTCAGTCAGCTTCCAGGTTTTATTGCCAAAGCTTAACTGAACAAGCTGAAGTCAGAAGATGATTGGCTACTGTGTACAGCTGCACCAGATTCTGAGTGTTACAGTTTTAGTAAATCTACCCCAGTATACTGTATGTATGTTCTGTATAAATGTGCTGCCACTTGTAGCATCCCATGACAAGCAGTAAATCTTCTGTGATCCTTTACAAAGAATTCACCATAGTGATAACAATTATTCACATTTTGTGGTGCATCTTCTACCACTCTCTTTTTAGGGAACATTCACCAGATACACTATATTACCAAAAGTATTGGGACGCCTGCCTTGACATGCACATGAACTTTAATGGCATCCCAGTCTTAGTCCGTAAAGTTCAATATTGAGTTGGTCCACCCTTTGCAGCTATAACAGCTTCAAATCTTCTGGGAAGGCTGTCCACATGGTTTATGAGTGTGTCTATGGGAATGTTTGACCATTCTTCCAGAAGCGCATTTGTGAGGTCAGGCACTGATATCGGACGAGAAGGCCTGGCTCACAGACTCCACTCTAATTCATCCCAAAGGTGTTCTGTGGGGTTGAGGTCAGGACTCTGTGCAGACCAGTCAAGTTCCTCCACCCCAAACTCGCTCATCCGTGTCTTTATGGACCTTGCTTTGTGCACTGGTGCGCAGTCATGTTGGAACAGGAAGGGGCCACCCCCAAACTGTTCCCACAAAGTTGGGAGCATGAAATTGTCCAAAATGTCTTGGTATGCTGCCACTTTAAGAGTTCCCTTCACTGAAACTAAGGGTCCAGGCCCAACCTCTGCAAAATGTAAACCCCCCCCCAGCAAACTTTACACTTGGCGCAATGCAGTCAGGTAAGTACCGTTCTCCTGGCAACAGCCAAACCCAGACACATCCATCGGATTGCCAGACAGAAAAGTGTGATTCATCACTCCAGGGAACACGTCTCCACTGCTCTAGAGCCCAGTGGCAGTGTGCTTTACACCACTGCATCCAATGCTTTGCATTGCACTTGGTGATATAAGGTGATATAAGGCTTGGATGCAGCTGCTCGACCATGGAAACCAATTCCATGAAGCTCTCTATGCACTGTTGTTGTGCTAATCTGAAAGCCACATAAAGTTTGGAGGTGTTTAGCTGCTGACTCAGCAGACAGTTGGTGACCCTGACCCCGCTCTATCATTTTACGTGGCCTACCACTTCATGGCTGAGTTGCTGTTGCTCCCAGTTGCATCCACTTTGTTTTAATACCACTAACAGTTGACCATGGAATGTTTAGTAGCAAGGAAATTTCACGGATGGACGAATTGCACAGGTGGCAACCTATCACAGTACCACGCTTGAATTCACTGAGCTCCTGAGAGTGACCCATTCTTTCACTGTTTTTAGAAGCAGTCTGTATGCCTAGGTGCTTGATGTTATACACCTGTGGCCATAGAGATGATTGGAACACCTGAATCCAATGATTTGGAGGGGTGTTCCAATACTTTTGGCAATATAAGGTAAGTTACATAGCTACATAGTACATAGTAACATAGTTAGTCTGGCTGAAAAAAAGACAAAAGTCCATTCAGTTCAACCATTAAAAAAAAGTTACTATCTTATACTAACAGTTGATCCAGAGGAAGGCAAAAAACCCAGCAAAGCACGATCCAATTCTCTCCTGCAGGGCAAAAAAATTCCTTCATGATCCTCCGAGAGGCAACTGGATATTCCCTGGATCAACTTTACATATTAATGTTAGTAACCAGTTATATTCTGTGTATCTAAGAAAGAATCCAGGCCTTTTTTATAGCAATCCACTGGGCTGGCCAGAAACAAGTCTTGAGGGAGTCTAAAATGGTGTATTTTTGACCTCCTTATGGTCAAAAAGGTCTAAAAATGCTTTTTACCCACAACTTGGGAGAAGTAAACAACAGTCACAGATTAGTTCTCTTCAAACCGAAATACATTCAAAGTCTCATCATGATAAAAGAGAGCGAAAAGACATACGCCATAGTAAAAAAATAATTTAATATCACTGAGAAAACACATTTCAAGATTGAAATGATTGGGATCCATCTCATTTGGATTTTACATATTTACTGTATATGTTAGATATATAAAGGTGTGATGTGTGACACATTTTTACAACAGGTTCTTATTTATTACTTGCACTTAAAAATAGGCACATATGGTTTTCAATTACTAGTATTTATAGTAGCTAGAAAAATATCACAAGCCCTGGGCTGTAATATTTATTTATTTATTATATCTGTTATAATATATAGTGCAACAGCTGTTGGGGATTTAGGCAGAATATACCCACATTTACTGCTGAGTTTCTCTAATCTCTGTACAAAAAACTAACTGTTGATTTTGCTGGAAATCTTGTCAGTTGATAATGTCCTGTTCTCTCTGCCTTTGCTGCATTCTTATCATTTACGGTATGTTATTTTCATGATGCTTTGACGACTACAGAATGTAGTATGTTATGTAGAATAAGAGAGGGCGGCTCCTGTAGCCATGTTATGGGACAACAACCCTGCTTTTTTATAAATACATTAAATTAAGCAATTGTTGTCACTCACGGATGTGTGTAACTGGCACAATCACACAGTAAAAATAAAAGGACAAGAAAAAAAAATTCAGCCACCACATCTAAGGACTGGAAAACTGTCATGTATGTGTAGCCATGTGCTGGGCTATTACATTGTCCTTTATGCTTCTCTCCCTCTACTGAGATACTGATGTTATGCTGCACCATCCTCCTCCGGACAGCAGAGGGAGAGCAAAAGCAAAGCAAGCCCATGACTTCTATGCAGAAATCTGGACGTTGTAGTTTGAAACGGCAGCCATATAATGGCTGCATTATAATGGTTACACTACAGATCCCAATTGTCACACTGGGAAGATCAGTGTACTTCTGATTCTCCTACTCCAGCTCTTATGCAGCTGAAAACAGAGGGAAAGTGATCACTCATAAAAAAGGGGAAAAAAATATATATTTTTTTACATCTATACACAAATGTTTTGTCTTTCATTTCTATTTAAAACTGAGTGGGTTGTTTTACAAGGTGATCATTTTACTCACTCAATCCTGTGTGAGCAGAAATACAGTTTTTTTTTAATTTTTCTTGTATATGATTGAATGTTCAACATGAACACAGCTTCACTTCATCTCTAACTTCAATGACTGAATACCTAAATATGCACACAATTCCATGTGCTCAATTATGTCCCTCGTCAAATGGGAGGAGGTCACATGATCCTCCAATCCTAGAAGCACTGGGTATAGTTAGTGGCTGTAAAAGGAAAAGGAGTGGCATAGCAAGTGCTGGCAAGGTGAATATTAGTGGTTAGGGGGCCCCATGGGTGGATTGACCATTTGGAAAGTTGGGCACTGCCCAAGGGCCCGGGGTCAGTAGGGGGACCCATGAGATGCCCCTGGTACCTTTTTCATAGGCTTTTTTGAGTTTGGGCAAGGACCCAGGGGCCCCATGATCCCCTATTGCCCGGAGGAATGAGTTGTCAGTCCGCCCCTGGGGTGGCACCCTACAAAGACTGTCATTTTGCATTGAATGGTGACAGTGGGGTTATTTTGCTAAAACTGCGTGGTACAAAATCTGATGCAGCTCTGCATAGAAACCAATCATCTTCCAGGTTTCATTGTCAAAGCTTAATTAAACAAGCTGACGTTAGAAGCTGATTGGCTACCATGCTCAGCTACACCAGATTCTGAGTGCACCAGTTTTAGTAAATAAACCAAAGTCTCTTTTAGGGGTGCTCATCACAAACTAATACAAAACCCCCACTCAATAACATGTTATTAATTATTGCTAAGTTGTCCATAAAAAAAACTGAAAGCAGAAAGAAATTAAAGTGTTACTAAACCCACAACAGTAAAATCAGTCTGTATATACAGTAAAGCATGCTTGTTATCCTCAGTGTGGAACCTAAGTGGTTAATCTGCTGCATTAGGTGAAAAGGCTGGTTGATCCTGACTTGTCTGATCCTCCCCTTCTTCCAGTGTCTCTCTCTTACCTCTTGTTAAAACATATTGTGTGGAGTCATTCTTCACATGCTCAGTTTGGTGTGTATTGCTAGAGAGGTTTTTTTTTTGCATCCTCCTGAAGCAAAATTAAAACTCTACAACTCCTACAAGCTTTTAACGTACTCTGCTGGGAGAATGCATGTGATCAGCACAGGACCAATTAGCACTGTCCAGACAGAGGGTCAGGGTTATACAACTTTATAGCACAATCAAGGGAGAATGAAGACTCCTCCTACGAGCTTTAACCAAAGCTCTGCTGGACACTGATAGAAGTCGCAAGACTGCTCTAACTGATGATGGGAAAAGGTATTTAGCAGTTTATATTTAATAAAATAATTGCACTTCCATGTTCTGTGTACTGTGGGAGGCCAGATATAGTGAATGCAGGGCCCTGGGTTTAGTAACACTTTAATATCTATTGACATAGCATATTTTATAATCGGATGTTAGCAGGGGCGGAAGGCCATTCGAGCACTCGGGGTCAGTAGGGGGCACCATAAAATGCCCCTGGTACCTTTATTATAAGCTTTTTTGAGTTTGGGCAAGGACACAGGGGCCCCATGATCCCTATTGCCCGGGGGCCCCATGAGTTGTCAGTCCGCCCCTAGATGTTAGCATTTGTCTACACTGAAGCTACCTTTGTCTTTGCATCTGATCATTTTGACATGAACTGTAGGTCCCACCGAAGTTGACCTGTTGATAAAGTTTTTATTCCATTATACATTCCAAATGTGTTCCCCAGGCTTGTGATAAGTTTACTTTAATTCACTGACTGACTAGGGTTTCTAAAAAAAAGGTAACAGAAACCGCAGTCTAGTGTGGAAACATTAAGGGGGCAGGGAGTGAAGCTAAAATCTGAAGCTTTCTTCATGCACATACAGTATATATACAGTATGTATGTATATATATATATATATATATATATATATATATATAAATAAATTATTTATATATATATATATATATATATATTTTCAGGTGGACTTATATAGCGCCATCAATTTACGCAGCACTTTACATATATTGTACATTGACACCAGTCCCTAACCCTCAAGGGGCATACAATCTAAGGTCTCTACCTTACATTCATACATACACATACTAGGGCCAATTTAGACAGGAGCCAATTAACCTACAAGCATGTCTTTGGAGTGTAGGATGAAACTGGAGCACCTGGAGGAAACTCACACAGGCACAGGGAGAACATGCAAACTCCAGGCAGGTGGTGTCATGGTTGGGATTCGAACTAACGACCCTAGTACTGCCAGCATATATATGTGTGTCACAAGTGTAATAAAAGCGCCACACCCTTAATACTTTAAAGCAGCAATTCCACCTCAAAGAAACCAAATAAATTTCTTAGTGCTATAACTTAAATAAAGGAATGTGCTAAAACCACAAACTATTCCTAATTTAGTGTAGAAACATTAGTGCAAAAGATATATATATATCTATTCTCAATTAATATCAAAAAATATCAAATATGTGCAAAACTATTTTTTAGTGCATAAGTAATTTAAATAATTAAATTTGTGAATATAAAAATTGTCCAATTTTGAATTTCTTCAAATGTCCAAACAAATCCTTTTCAAATTCAGGTGCTCTCAAAGAAATTGTGCCAAAATCCACCACCAAAGTAAAGTTGGGTAACTCACCAGAGCTCCATGCTGATCAATCTCTAGATCAGCAAAAAATGCTTTTTGCTCTGGGAGCAGATGCAATAAATCAACTTCTCAGGTGTGATGATCAATAGCTACACATTCATCCATAAGTTAGGTATCCACCACTCAATATAATGGTTCCAGGAGCATTATATCACTCTCTCTTTTTATATCTCTCCACCGAGGTCATGTTTGGGAATGAAAGAGAAAATCATGGTGCAGCCAGTTTTTTTATAAAAGTATCCAACAATTTAATAAAGATTTACACTCACAAAAAGGGTGTCTTCACCGACACCAGTATAACAGCATAAAACAGCAAATCGTATAACAGTCTCCTGTTCCCCTCACACTCACTACAGCGCTCGTGACTCAATCCTCTCCACACACGTCAGCATCCAGCAAGCCAAGGGCTTGGCTTGCTGCATGCTGACGTCTGTGGAGAGGATTGACTTGCTGGATGCTGACGTCTGTGGAGAGGATTGAGTCACGAGCGCTGTAGTGAGTGTGAGGGGAACAGGAGACTGTTATACCATTTGCTGTTTTATGCTGTTATACTGGTGTCGGTGAAGACACTCTTTTTGTGAGTGTAAATCTTTATTAAATTGTTGGATACTTTTATAAAAAAACTGGCTGCATCTGCTCCCAGAGCAAAAAGCGTTTTTTTGCTGATCTAGAGATTGATCAGCATGGAGCTCTGGTGAGTTACCCAACTTTACTTTGGTGGTGGATTTTGGCACAATTTCTTTGAGAGCACTTGAATTTGAAAAGGATTTGTTTGGACATTTGAAGAAATTCAAAATTGGACAATTTTTATATTCACAAATTTAATTATTTAAATTACTTATGCACTAAAAAATAGTTTTGCACATAATTTTGATATATATGTGTGTGTATGTACTGTATCATAGGAAACATAATAATAATAAAGATTGCACAGAGAAACTTAGTTGAAATCCAGAGCATCAGTAAAGTCTAGAAGTAAAAGTGATGTGACCTGTTTCATTGCAACATGCACACTAAATGAAAGTATTAGGCTGGGAACATACAGTATGCATAGTGTAGCACACCCAGGGGTGGACTGACCATTTGGAAATGCGGGCACTGCCCGAGGGCCCGGGTCAATAGGGGGCCCCATGAGATGCACCTGGTACCTTTTTCATAGGCTTTTTTTGAGTTTGGGCAAGGACACAGGGGCCCCATGATCCCCTATTGCCCGGGGGCCCCATGAGTTGTCAGTCCGCCCCTGAGCACACCCTTGGGTGATGCTTGGCTAGATATATAGGTTCAGCTCCCACCTGAATCTGGTGACATCTCCTATTATACCCAGAACACTTCAACACTCTGAGAATATTTTTTATGGGTTTTATTGCAGAAGACAAACCCTGAAAAAGAACTAGCTGATTAAACACAGGTAATGTACATAAAACACAGATACCACTTTGCATAACACAGTTAGTAAGAAGTCACAATTCACTCGCCAAAGACTCCAAAAACTGATTAGTATCACACTGACTAGAGTGACATAAGAGAGTGACATTGACACATGAAACAATGACTGTTAATGAGGTTTAGCAGCTTACTGACATTTGCTATAGCAGTACTATCTAGAGCAGAAATGTCCTACCTAACCACTGGCCAGTGAGATGAAACTTAAAGTCTCTCACCGTTGGGGCCCTTTAATCTATGGAAGAGCGCTCACTCTCCGAATGGGAGAGTATTTGTAATCCAGGGGTAACAGGATAGCACAGTTTCCTTTAAGTAGAATCTTCCAGTGAACATTGCAATAGAAAAGAACAACACTTCAACAAATCTTTACCATACAGGTGAAATCCTGATGTACTGACACTTGCTCAGTATATTCAAAGCAGCAAGCTTCTGTGGATTAGGAACTAAAACACACTCTTCAGTCACAGCACAAGTTTTGAGGAAACAATCACCAGTAAAATACAGAGACAGAGTTCTCTCATCAATCAGCAGCAGGTATAGTTAATTCTGAGCAGCTTGGGCTTTCCAAGATCTGTGTCACTCTGAGAATTAGAGAGCAGGCTTTCTCATGACCATTCTCCAGTGATGAACAGCAAATGCAGCAATATCAAAATCCCCTTTCATCACAGAGTACTCACTGTTTCTGGATTGTCCTCTAGATAGCATTAAACAGTAGTAGAAATCCTCTCTCTTACAGCAGCTCCAAACTCTGTGAGACACATGCACTTGAGTGGCTGTAAATCCTGAGTGTCAGGCAGAACAATCCTTGATTTGCACACTGTCCTCCTGCAACAATTCCTCTGCTACACACTCCCAGCCCAGCCCATGGGCTCTAGCAGCACAGAGAGTGAGACTCTGTGACTTTACACCAGAGAGGCCCTTGCTCCATGCGGTCCCCTGAAAAATGTCTCCTTCCCTACATGTGCTTCTTCTTCCTCTTTCTTTCTTCTCCTTTCCTCCCACAGCCAATTATAAAGTTCAGCTGCAACAGTGCTGCTATGGGCTGTATCCTTCTCAGCTGTAGCAACAACCCAAATCAGAGCACAGTCCTGCTTTCCCTGTCTGTCACTCACAAAGAGGGAAAAGAAAGAAGAATGCTTTGCAAAATGCTGTTTAAGATTTAAAGCAACCAGCACATCTCTACAGTAGCATAGGTAAAGACCTACATGACTGGGTTTCAAAGCACTGTCTGTGGTGGAGAGAGAGTTATGCAGGCCATAGACAGGTTGAAAACCGGCTGTTTTTAAAAAAAAAAAAAAAAAAAAATTGGTCGTTCAATAGGCCAACGTTACCACCAAAAAAAAAAAAAAAATCGGCCGATTTTTGTGTCCCGTCTATGGCCAGCATTTAATTACTTCTGTCCCTGCAGAGTGCTCCGCTATTATGTTTTGACATGAAAAAGTATTTGTGTTTGCAACAATGTATTTTCATTTGTATCCATTTTTTGATACAGATGTTTTTAC